TATTACTTAATTTATTATTTTCACTTTAATAAAATTTATATTCGCTATATACGCTGAAGTAAAGAGTCAGTAAAAACTAAATCCAGTGAAAATACTTTTTTTCAAATTTTTTATGTTAAAACTCATCAAAAATCACTGAAAATAAACTTCATACAAAACAGCCAAAATGTCTTTTCAGTGAAATTAATTCCAATTTATAAGTATTTTACAGTATTGTGAAATGTCTGGCACTGAAAAACAGTATCGGCACTCATTTGAACATTACCGGTAACATTTTTTTGATATGAGGTAATATGTCAGCATGTTCAAAGTTATTGATGTCCAATCTAGACACTTTCCTTTGTTTATATTGTACCCAGAAGTGCTATGGAAATAGAATTCCCTAAAAACTAGACACAAACAACCCCACAGCACTTGTTCTTGGTTGTCATTTTGGGCTATAATCTTTTGTTAAATTGATATTACAAGCAGGAAAAAGATTTATAATAATAAGGAATACACTCGACAGTACAGGGTCAAATTGGTTGATATGATCACTGAACTGCCTGGGTTGTTACAATTGCTGTACTGCCCGAGTCAACATGATTGTCGTAATGCCTGGGTTGTTACAATTGTCGTACTGCCTGGGTTAATGCGATTGCCGTACTGCCTGGGTTAATGCGATTGCCGTACTGCCTGGGTCAATGCGATTGTTATATTGCCTGGGTCAATGCGATTGTTATATTGCCTGGGTCAATGCGATTGCCGTACTGCCTGGGTCAATGCGATTGCCGTACTGCCTGGGTCAATGCGATTGCCGTACTGCCTGGGTCAATGCGATTGCCGTACTGCCTGGGTCAATGCGATTGCCGTACTGCCTGGGTCAATGCGATTGCCGTACTGCCTGGGTCAATGCGATTGCCGTACTGCCTGGGTCAATGCGATTGCCGTACTGCCTGGGTCAATGCGATTGTCGTACTGCCTGGGTCAATGCGATTGTCGTACTGCCTGGGTCAATGCGATTGTCGTACTGCCTGGGTCAATATGATTGCCGTACTACCTCGGTGGATACGATCGTCATTTTGCCTTTATGTATACTTCAGTATTCTCGAGATCACCTTGTATAACAAACAACAACGTAAAATACAGTCATGCAGCATGAGTTTATAATTGTTTGAATGAAATTTTACAGACGTTATTTATGTCACAAATAATCCATCTTTGATTTATTCACCAGATCAATAGTTAATTCGAAATAAATTTCAAATAATAATAATAATAATACAATAATAAAATTCATAAACAACAATAATAAACAAAATAATGATATCTACCCGGTATAATAATTTAAAATCATTGACCAATAACCAATGTACTTACCGGGTATATCATAATTTATATTACAGAAGAAAACATGTCCGGTTTCAGACAAGTCCTTTGCATATGGTATTCTATCTGAAAGTATTAAACATATGGGCGCAGCTATTGTACCATTTGTACCCCATCTTTATCCAGTCCTGATGGCTGGAATGAAAGATGATGATGATGAAGTCCGAAACAATGCCATATATGGCATTGGTGTTTTAGCCAGCAGTGCTGGTGAGGCAATATATTCGTATCCTTTTTCTATGAAAAAAATTAGAACTACGTAAGATAAGTGTGATCGATTTCAAATTGTTAAGATGCATTATATATTTGTCCATATCTCATGCAAGAAAGAAGCTATTCCGATGTAAAGCATTATATTGAATTGTCTTACATTGGTATGGTTTCTTACTGGTATGTACACTAGCCACTTGAAGATAAACCAGTGAATGCATACTGGATGGAAGCAGTTCCAGCATGGTACAAATCAGAAGGCAATATGTAGTGAGGTGGATCCAAAAGAAATAATTAAAAAAAATCATGGCCAATGAGGTGGGGATAGTCCGAAGTCCGAAAACGGGGACTATTAATTTTGGTTCGTTCCATCCGTCCATACGTCCGTACATCCGGAGCTATATCTCGGACACCCATTGACGGATTTTTGGATCAAAGTTGGTATGATGATCATACATATTGTGTTGTAGGTGCAGGTCATTTTTTTTTCGTGAATCGAACAAATATGACCGACTGGCGGCCATCTTGTTTTTCATGGTACCCATGCTACTTTACCTTGAATGCAATGATGCAATGAACTTTTCTGTTTAAATTTTGTACAAAGATAGTATACCAAGAGATACATCTGCACCAACATGATTTTTGTGATTCTATTCAATATGGCTGGCTGACGCCCAACTTTCATGTAAAAGCACTAAATTGTCATTTAAATCGTCCAGAGCCGTTTCTCAGAGATGACTAGGCCAATTTGGATCAAAGTTGGTATGATGATCATACATATTGGGTTATAGTTGCATGTCATATTTTTTCTGTGATTCAAACTTATATGGCTGACTGGCGGCCATTTTGTTTTTCATGATACCCATGCCTACTTTCCCATGAATGCAATGAACATTTCTGTTTAAATTTTGTACAAAGACAGTATACCAATAGATACATCAACATGAACGTTATTTTTGTAATTAGATTCAATATGACTGCCAAATGTTCAATTCTCATGTAAAAGCACTAAATCATAATTTCTAACAAATCCATCTCCTATTAATGGTTTCAATCTAATCTCACTGACTTCATCAGCATCAAATTGATATGTCAGATCACAAAATTTTGGACTGGGACTGTGTCATTAACAATGACTTGTTAAACAGTAAAACTTCAAGCCTGCTACATAGGTCTAAATGGAAACCTGCATAACTGTTTTCTTGATCACAGTTTGATTGTCGACTACAATCTGTGTTGGTCAAGTTGATGAATGCATTTGTCAGCGGAAAGGTCAATCAATGCTTTCAGTTTCAAAAATTACTGATAGGGTCGAAATAATTGCCCTTCTAGTGTATAATTTTTAGAAACACAAAAATACGAAAAAGCATGCGTATTACAAAAACTTAACAAGGTGAGCATGTCAATTGTATGTAACACAATCTAAATATTGATTGGATTTCTCAATGGTTCAACAATCAAATGCATGTATTATTCATAATATTATTTGATGCAACACATACTAGGTCAGTGGGTTCATTAAGTTTACAGAAATACAATAAATAAATTAATCAGAATTTTCCAGACGAAATCCACTCAGTCTGCCTATCTGTTTTTATGTAAAATAAGGTAAACTATGGTACTACATGTATATAATATACACATGTATATTTCACAGTCTCCACACGTCAGTTCTACCGGTAATTACTTTTTCAATCTTTGATTTATTTTTTGTGTCATAATATATGCATTATTTAATATAAATACAAAAATCAACATGGTGATTGGTGAATAGCTTATGAAGGTGACAGGGTTACGATTTGAACTAAAAGGTTTTAGAATCACCAATCACCATCTACCATACCAGAAAAATATTAGCATAATGAAATTCAATATACCTCGTAGTGGCTCCTTTGTTTTTTAAGTGTCCCTAGTATTTCTCATGAATACTTAGTTATTTTATTGAAATTTGGTGCAAAGGCAAGACATAATGATATAGGGAATATGTTTTTTTAATTCAATGACGTTTGACAGACTGGCATGTACCACTTATTCCTTAATACCCCGGTATATAATATTTATGTGTATGTGTATTTTTCCAAAGAATGTAAATAGTAATATTGCATGTGTTTGTTTTAGTCGGTCATTTTTAAAAATGAGTATTATTGTACGTTCAAGTTTACAAATACAAATTGTTCCTTAACTGAATTTTTACAGAAATTATCCAGAAATTTTAAATGATTTATTTGGAGTGGCATCGAAAGAGGAAAGTGGTCGCGTTGTTGACAATATTTGTGGTGCAGTGTGTCGTCTGATTATGACCAATATCAGTGGTGTACCCATGGACCAGGTTTGTCCTAGATACTCCTTCACTTGCATGCAATAC